TGGGGCCTAATGAAACTTACAAGCTTCTGCACAGCAAAGGAAACCAGAAGTAAAACAAGAAGAAAACCTACGGAATGGGAGAAAATTTTTGCAAGTAAAATCGACAAAGGCTTGATCTCCAGAATATATAAGCAGCTCATACGACTCAATAAGAAAAAAATAAACAACCCAATCCAAAAACGGGCAGAAGACCTAAACAAACAATTCTCCAAGGAAGACATACAAATGATCAAATGCACATGAAAAAATGCTCAATATCACTAATTCTCAGAGAAATGCAAATCAAAACTACAATGAGGTATCACCTCACAGCAGTCAGAATGGCCATCATTCAAAAATCCAAAAATGACAAATGCTGGAGAGGCTGTGGAGAAAGGGGAACCCTCTTAACACTGCTGGTGGGAATGCAGTTTGGTGAAGCCACTATGGAAAACAGTGTGGAGATTCCTCAAAAGACTAGGAATAGACTTACCATATGACCCAGGAATCCCACTCCTGGGCTTGTACCCAGAAGGAAATCTACTTCAGGATGACACCTGCACCCAAATGTTCATAGCAGCACTATTTACAATAGCCAAAACATGGAAACAGCCTAAATGTCCATCAACAGGTGACTGGATAAAGAAGAAGTGGTATATTTATACAATGGAATACTACTCAGCCATAAAAACTGACAACATAACACCACTTGCAGTAACATGGATGCTTCTGGAGAATGTCATTCTAAGTGAAGTAAGCCAGAAACAGAAAGAAAAATACCATATGAGATCGCTCATATGTGGAATCTAAAAAACGAAAACAAAAACAAACAAACAAACAAAAACAAAGCATAAATACAGGACAGAAATAGACTCACAGACAGAGAATACAGACTTGTGGTTACCAGGGGGGTGGAGGGTGGGAAGGGATAGACTGGGATTTTGAAATTGTAGAATAGGTAAACAAGATTACACTGTATAGCACAGGGAAAGATACACAAAATGTTATGATAACTCATAGAGAAAAAAATGTGACAATGTGTGTGTATATGTCCATGAATGACTGAAAAATTGTGCTGAACACTGGAATTTGACACAACATTGTAAAATGGTTACAAATCAATAAAAAATGTTAAAAAAAGCCAGTAAAAACTCAGTGATCTGGTGAGGAAATCAAAAAGGAAATGAAAAAAAGAACTCAAAACAAATGAAAATGGAAATATAACTTCCCAAAATCTATGAGATGCAGCAAAAGCAGTTCTAGGAGGGAAGATCATAGTGATATAGGTCTACCTTATGAAACAAGAAAAATCTTTTATAAGTAAACAACCTAACTTGCTACCTAAAATAATTAGAAAAGAAAAACAAAGGTTAGTAAAAGGAAAGAAATAATAAAAGTCAGAAAGGAAATAAATAAAATAAAGATTAAAAGACAATAGAAAAGATCAGTGAAACCAAGATCTGTTTATTTTTTGAAAAGATAGATAGAACTGATAAATCTTTAGCCAGGTTCACCAAGAAGAAATATGACCCCAATATACAAACTAGAAATGAAAGAAAGCATGTAATAACTGATACCAGAGATATACAAAAATCATAAGAGAATAGTATGAAGTTACATACCAACAATTGAACAATGTAGAAGAAATTGACAAATTTCTAGAAACATACAGACTAAAAAGATAGAGTCAACAGGAAACAGATGATTTGAACAGACCAATCACTAGAAGTCAAATTGAATTTTTAATTAAAAAAAAAAAACTCTAGCAAACAAAAGTCCAGGACTGGATGATTTCACAGGGGAATTCCACCAAACATATAAAGAAGAAATAATACCTATAATTCTCAAACTGTCCCAAAAATTGAAGAAGATGGGACACGCCCAAAGTTATTCTAAAAGGCCAGCATTAATCCAATACCAAAACCGGACAAAAACACTACAAAAAAAGAAAATCTCAGGCCAATATCTTTAATGAATATAGAAACAAAAATCCTCAACAAAATATTAGCAAAGAGAATCCAAAAATATATGAGAAGAATCACACACCATTATCAATTTTGAATTACTCCAGCATCACAGGATGGTTCAACATTCACAAATCAATCAATGAGATACAGCACATTAACAAAAGGAAGGACAAAAATCACATAATCATCTCAACAGATTCAGAAAAAGTATTTGATGAAATTCAACATCTATTCATGATAAAAAATCTCATCAAAGCATTTATAGAAGGAACATATCTCAATGTAATAAAAGGCATTTATGACAGACCACAGCTAACATAACACTCAGTAGTGAAAACCTGAAAGCCTTCTCACTAAATTCAGGAAAAAGACAAGGATGCCCACTCTTACCACTTCTATTTAACATAGTATTGGGAGTGTTAGCCACAGTAATCAGACAAGAAAAAGAAATGAAATATATCCAGATTGGACGGGAAGAGGTAAAACTGTCATTATTTGCAGATGACACAATACTTTATATAAAGAACTCTAAACTCTTCATGCAAAAACCAAATGAAGGTTGCAAGATACGAGATTAATATACAGAAATATTCTTTCTTTCTATACACTAAAACTGAACTATCAGGAAAAGAAAGTAAAAA